ACCCTTTCAAAGATCAGCAAGAAAGGAAAAGCACATAGGGTCATGAGAAAAGCCCAGGCTTGGAATCTGAAGACTTGTTTAGATCCCAGCCCTGTTAAAGTCAGGGTGTGTGGATTTGAGCAAGTTTCTTCACGTCTGAGTTTTGCTTTGTTGGTCTGAAGTCATGGAGGTCAGTTAACATTTACAGACATGGGCACTGGGAGAGTAAAGGAATGTGTGAGAAGAATCAAACAACAAAAGGGAAGCAAACAGGGTGGTTAAAAAGTGGACTTTCTCACTTATCATCAAAACTGATCATTGACTTTCAAATCCTAGCCCTGCCTGTCATCCACCTGTGTGGCCATGGAGGAATTAACCTCAGTAGGGTTCATTTTTTTTCATATGTGAAAGAGATAAAACAATACCCACACGTACTCCCAACTTACCCTATGCTATAGTAAGGGAACTGAGGCCCAGGAGAATTAAGTAACCACACCAGGATCCTACAGAGGCCAATCTGGCTTCTGTCCTCAGGCACTCTGGACTCAGATCCTGTGCTCTGTGGCAGGGACCCTTCCCCTCTACAGAGCAGGTGAGGACGCCTGGCCAGTCAAGGGCTCAGGACGTGGGCCATACTCAGTAAATATTTCCTAATCCTTGAACAATTTCCTTTCACATCCCAGCCAGCAGCCAACTCACTTAGCTATTGTTGGTGGAAACATGAGCTTGATTAGGCTGCATAAAAATGACAAACATGTTTATCTAAGACCAAGTGCTGTTTCACATGTGGTTTGCATTGCTGTCAGCACACTAGGAATAGAATACCTATCTATTAGATAAAAGGGGAGAGACAGGTTAGAGATCAGCTCAGTCTAAAGGCCAAGATGACTTCATTAATGAAGGGCTGTCTAGGATTGGGCTGTTGTTACAACTTCCCAATAACTGGAACCTTTCCACTACCTGGAGCCTCTGAACTTCGAAAATGCCTCAAGTACATGACGATGACGATGACGATGATGATGATGATGGATGTCTTAGGAATGAGATTCCTCTCATCATGGATGCCCATATGTGAGCCAAAAGCACTCGGAGAGAAGAGGGGAAGTCAGACCATCAAATAGAGTCGAAGGCTATTGTTCTTGTTCACTTCGGCATATTTACGGAGCTGGGCAAGTGGAAGGGAGTACTCTTTAGGTGGAGGTTGTGGGGCCTTACTGTTTAATCACATATAAGGACACACTGAGAGACACAGTCTGGTAGTGGGACAGAGGGTGAGATCTTGGGACCCAGGTTCCATGCAGCCATAAAACTTGGACCCCTGGAGAAGCACACAAGCCAAGTTCGGTGCCGTATATGCCTGTGATCCCAGTGGTACGGGAGACTGAAGCACGAGGATGGTTAAGTTCAAACTTTGCCTGAGCCACTTAGCAATACCTTGTCTCAAGGAAAGGAAGGGAGAGTGAGGATATATAGTTCACTACGAAGGCTCTTGTTCATTCCTTAGCTCAACTGCCACATAAAATAAAAGACACAGGGTCTTGTGGACAAAGCTTCTTCAAAACAAAATTATTTCCTTTAAGTTAGTTCTACTCCCTCCTTTATTTCCCAGTCTTTAGCCACAATCTGGTTTAAAAGAAACACACTAATACGGTGCATCACGTATGAAATTATGCAATGCATTTCTATAACTGCTATGAATTAGAACCCATATATTTGCCAACAAAGGTTAGCTACTCAGGCTCCTCCAGTGCAATGAGCACGTTATCCCCCACAGTGGGAGGACACGGCGAGCACACTGATTAAATCGTAAAACAGAGTAAAGGGCACCCTTAACCAAAAATAAATTGAGCATTTTTTTAACACTACAAAGAAGTCACAGAACAATATCCGTTTCAATGCTTTCTTTTTCCTCCACGAAACTCCCACTGAACATAAAAGGAAGGAAGTCTTTTAAACTCGAATTCCACAGGCACAGCCTCGATAGCCACTCTGTTTTTCAGGGGGAGGCCACAGAACCATTATGGCTGTGCCTCACAATGTCTGTGTCTTCTTCAGCACAGATCTGTTGCTGCGAAGGATGGAGCAGGAGCGTGACCGACAAGGGCTTTTCAAAACAAACGTTTCCCCAGCATAGCCCAGCCAGACGACTTTCACTTTCCCCCTCTAGCTCGGCAGAAGCATCTCCCAGAGATGCTTTATTGACTAAGCCTCAGTCACTAAACACCCCAAACATCAGAAGAGACCCAGAGAGATGTAACAGCACCCTGAGCCAAGGGACTCCTCTCTAGGAGGAGAAAAGCATGAAGATGCTCTCGTGGAAGGGAGTGCGGGAAGTTTACTTACAGAGCTCGCAGGGCCGTTCAACAGCTGGGCTCTTTGAACTCAGTGCGCACAGCTGTGGAGCGTTTGCTCAAAATCCTCTTCCCTCTGGCCGCGAGGAATTCTCATAACTCTTTGTGGCTTCAGATTGGTAAGTAATTTCCTGATTTGTTTTCAAAAGTGTTCTCCAAGGCTTTGTATGGTGGCAGAGAAAGGGCGCATGCAAGACCACAGCATGCAGAGAAGTCGTGACCACTCAGCCCTCCAGATTGCTTGAAGGAGGCTTGTGGACAAAAATAAATATCCTCTTTTATTTTCTGGCTCACTCCCCAAATCACACTTGGGAACAGTGCGGACTTGACGGTGTTTGTTTTAAAAGTGTGATGTTGAATGCCTTCTCATCTTTCATACTGGGGAAACCAAGGCACTTCTAGCTGGTCTTTGGAGATGGGTTGTTGTGATGGTTTCTTACCAGCCATTTAAGAGGCCATAAAATTCAGTCCCATCTGTGGATGGTGGGAGGAAATGAAGCATAGGGCTTGCAAGACTCCATCAAGGACATAAGTCAGCAGAAGTACTGGAACAAAAGAGCCTCATGACTGCTGAGCCAGTGCTCTGCCCCTGTGTAGGAGGCTACAGGAGACACAGAAGTTTGAGATCTGGCTCCTGACCTCTAGGATACAGGCTGCTGAAGCAGGTCTCTCAGGATCTGAGCCTCAGTTCTCACAGCTACAAAATGGGATTCGTAATGATACTGATCCTTGCTTGGTCATACAGTGAGGTGATAGCTGTGAAAGATGTTCCTCAACCATGGAAGCTGTCGTGCCATGTGACGGAATTTCTTCAGCATGGCCACATCTCTGTACACCTTTTCTCCCTCCCATTTTCATTTTGATGTTATTCTCCGGGATGGAAGAAGCCACTGAGTTTTGTAGGAAAAATAAAATACTAGGGTAGGACGTGGAGAAAACTTTTGGCCTTGGTAAACAAGGTTGAGGTGAGTTGAAGGGTATATTAGTTACTTTTCTGTTGCTGGGACCAGATATGTGCCATACATGACTTAAGGGAGAAAAGGCTATTTTGGCTCATGGCTCAGAGGTTTCAATCCATGAGGCAGAGAAAGAGTGGTGGAGGGGTGCAGTGGATGGAGTAAAGCTGCTCAGTTCATCGTGGCTGGGAGCAGAGAGAGCAAGAGAGCCAGAGAGAGAGGAAGGCACAAGGTACAAGAATTCACCTCTCTGGGTCCTGGCCCCTGTGACCCCCTCCTCCACGCACGGAGCCCCTCCATGTACAGTACATTCAACAGTGAACTCATTAATGGATTGCTCCACTAATGAGCTTAGTGCCTCCATGGTCCAATCACTTTCTGAAAGCCCCACTTCTGAACACAAGTCTTTTGGGAGATATTTAAGATCAAACCATAGCAGGAACATTTGGTGCAGAAAGAATACTGGATGTGGAAACAGAAATGCCAGGGTTCAGCCACTGTCTAGAACACGTACCAACTAAGGGAGCCTGCAGTCCTTGACACGTTCCGATCCATGGTTTCCTCTTTGGGGACACAATCTCTCATTTCACCTGGCTCGCTTCACTGTGCTATGGTGTGGGCCTGTTGGGGCGACTAAGTCATAAGGGTGATGCCCACATGAACAAGATTAGTGAACTGTGACCCTTCCACCCTTCTGCCACATGAGGATACGTGGTTTGGCCTCTCTGGAGGATACACAGCAACAAGATGTCAGCTGGGAAGCAAAAAGCAGGACTCACCCGATACCAGACCTGATTTTGCCTTGATCTTGGACCTCCTATCTTCCAAAATTGTGAGAAATAAATTCCTGTTGCTTATAAATTAGTCAGTCTGTGGCATTTGCTATAGCATTACAATTGGACGATGACAGAGATGACTGTACAGAGTCCGACTCATAGAAAAAATCATTGATGGGATGGTCCCATGTCTGTTTCCATGCCATGGTGGCATTGGCTCCTTCTGCATAACTGGAAGAAATTTTTTAAAATTACTGCTCCTGGCTTCAGCCTTGACCTTAGTTCCTTTTCTTTTCATTTTTAAGGAGCATCTTTCACCTTTCTTCCTCTGTCATCCAGTTTTTTGATTCTTGTCCCATAATACTTGCCCCTCTTAGTTCTTTTTTGTTAGAGTTCAAATTGTCTATCTAAAAAGCATCCACAGAGGCTTGACCTAGACAGGGCCATCTTTATCATCAAAGTAACACAAACACCAAAGGAATCAAGATTAGCTTACTCTTTGAAAATGTTCAAGCCCCAAATGTAACTCATATTTAATTATTCCATTCACTTCCTTTGCCGTTTCATACACTCATTCTTTAAATGCCATTTCTGTTAAGGAGCAATTTTCTAATTAAGCCTTGTCTGTGTCGTCTCGGGTGCCACATCAGTATGTGTGTGGGGGTGGCACAATGCGGTCTGCAGCAAGTGTGGAGAAAGTGCGGAAAGAGATCTACATGGACGTTACTTCTCCTCTCCCTGAATCTTTAAAGCAAATCGAGAGGCTGGTGGTGACGTTTCCAGAGTCACAAAGCCGATAGGACGAAGTTTCCAAATGCAAACTGTGATGACCAGAATGCTGCTCTCTTCACAGCACACAGCACGTCCCACCTGAGTTTTTTTTTCCCCCCTCTATTTTTCCTTCTTACTAATTCCATATTCGGTTGTTTTGTCCACAGCATGAAAGAAGAAAAAAGGGAGCAGAAGGAAGCCCCGTGGATGTGCGCAGGGTCCCGGCTGAGCCGAGGCTGACAGCTGGGGAAACGCACCTGGAACGCCCTCTCCTCGGCCCTTCCCAGCCTCCTCTGTGCTGATAAACCCTTCTCAGTTCAGACTCAATCACGCTTTCCTTCTGTGGGGAAGACGCTTCGCCCTGCTCCCTACCTACCTTTGTCCTTTCTTGCTATATTCTCGCATATCCTCTACTTAGCTTCATACATTTTTCTCCTTTTATCAGATTTAGGATTAGATACACTTTTCTTTATCTCTGTAGCGGTTATAACAGTATTTCCATATTTCCAAAATCATTTGTACACCATCTCTTTCCTTGATTAGTCTTTTAAGGGTCCTGAAGTTGGGGATATTTTGCTCACCAAGGTATCTGCAGTCATTAGAACACGAATATGATAGCTTATGGGGAAGAAAGGGAGGACACGAATAGTACTGAAAGTGTGCTGCGCGAGTCACCTGCAGCAGTGAAGAACTGCAAAATTATGCCCAAGAGGACAGAGTCCTGGGCCCTTTATGAAGTCCTCTCTGTCCCAGCCATGTACTTCTCTTTTCTGTTTTGCATGCAGATGTAAAGGTTAGCTAATCGGGATGAGTTTCTTGGAGAAAAGAGAGGTAGCTGGGGAAAAGGTCTTGGGGCCCATCTGTGGGCCTGCTGGTCAACCTCCGGCGTGCTACAAGGTCAGTATAGCCTAGATGTCTGCACCAAGGGAAAGTCAACATTCATTTTCTTTGAGAGAGAAAGGACCATGTTGGGAATTATCTTATTTATGAATTTCTTTTATTTATAAACTGAAATTTTTGATTAATTATCTTTTAATCGCCTTTCAAAGTCCAGATCATGAATGAACTTCAAGAATCTGTAACTATCAGTGAGTTGGGATCTGTGCGTTCAGCTGAGTGTCAACCCTGGCCCTGACCTCCCCTGCTCTGCTTCTCTCAGAACAGGGACCGGAAGCCAGGAGCTACATTTCCTGGAATCCCTTGAAGGCAGAGTCTCAGTCAGGGTTGTCCAGTAAGGACCCCACGAGGGTGTGAAAGACAATGCAGAAGTGGAGGTCACTGCTTTTGTTGGCTGCTGGAGTCAGAGTAAGGACAGTCAGCGGATGTGAGGTTTGTAGCGACTTCAGCTGAAAGTTTCCAATCACATACTTGGGAGTGGCTTCCCAGCCATCCAGTACATTTGGGTTTACAATAAGCACAGTTTTTCTTTAACTGTTGCTTCCACAACCTCTTAAAGGAAATCCTTTTTTATTTAGAAATAACCACAGACTCCTAAGATGTTGCAAAAGCAAAAGCAGTCACGTAACAATAAAAACATGAACTAGCTTCACTCATTGTGACATCTTACACTGCTATAATAGCAAAGCCAGAAACTGACATTAGTGTAACTATGAACTAGCTACAGATCTTATTTTGTTTTCAGCAGCTTTTACATAGACTCACTTGTGTATCTTGTAATCAAATACAATTTGATTCTGTACACAAGTGTTCTACATCTCTTTCAATTTTTTTAATGCTTTTATTCCTTGTCTTAAATCTCTACTTAGAGTGATGCTGATTTCCCCAACTAAATGCTAGTTGATATGGTTTCCTGATGTAGCTCACATTTGAAAAGTTTCAGTCAAGCTTTGTTGCTTGCATTTTATAGTGTTCTTTCATGTATTCCATTAAAATATTGTTCATTGACATTTCTTCACATCCTTTTCTTTTTAACCCAGGGCATTGCACATTTAAACTACTATAACAAATTTTTAGCTTTTTGTTGGGCTTTTAGTTGCTCCATTCTCAGAGTCACCTGCTATGGTTTGAGTATAGTTTGTCCCCTCTGAAACTCATGCTTAGCTTCACAGGCCATTGTGGCAGTGTTGGGAGATGGGCCTTTTAGGGGGTGAATAGGCCATTTGGAAGGTTGAGTGCAGTACTTGCAGGACTGGATTAGTTATTTCCAGTTGTCCTAAAGTGAGCTCGGCCCCTTGGTTCACTTCTGCCACCTGCTCTTCCTACTTCTGCTATGCTACAAAGTAGCACGAGGCTCTCATCAGATGTGGCCGCCAGATCTTGGACTTTCATTCTCCAGAACTGTGAGCCTAAATGAACTTCTCTCCTTTATAAATTACTTAGTTTTGGGTATTCTCTAGCAGTCACAGAAGCCAACTAAGACTTCATCCTTAACAGTTAAAAATGCGATGCTATTTTAATAATTCCTAAATGATGAAATACTTACATTTGATAAGGCAGGAAGCAAAAATAAAAAGGTATAGCTATTAGATAGTGGAATGCAAAGTAATGACCATTAATAGATAATAAAAATATACACCTAAACAATGCAAGCAATTATTTATTTTGTAATTTTTACTTTTCAGGGAACTGAACCCAGGGCCTCACACATGCACTATCACTGGGCTACTTCCCCAGTGCAATGCATACAAATTAAAAAGAGCCATTAGAAATCATATATATTCAAGAAGAAACATAAGGAATCTCTCCAACGTCAGCACAATCCTATTAAGATGACAAAAACTGGCCAGATACGAAAATAAACACACAAAAACAGCTTTCTCATGATGAAAAATTCGGAGACTAGAATGCTCAAAAAGCAAACAAAAAAATCTAACATCCAAAATGATGCTGGTATCACTGCAGAGGAAAAGGAGACTGGCCCCTCTCTTGGTCTTGTGAGCGTACGCATTTGACTAAATGTCTCAGTTGCATACACTGACTATGTTCTGCTTTTATATATTAATAAACTTTTAAAAGCCTGGGTATTTTTCTTTACTTGAGCCCTTCATCAACTCAATTTGTGTACAGAGACACACATCTTGTTGAAAGTGACTGTTTCACCTTCTTATTTTCCCTCTGAGTCTTTAATCACAAGGGACCCTTTGTCTTTTCCTAATTAAGATGCATTTCCTCTCAAATTGCCCTGGTCAGCAGAGATGTCTCTGGTTCCAACTTAAAAAAAAAAAGTTATTTTTCATTATTTCTCCTAAGGCAGTGGATCAACTTGAAATCACATATTTCAGAAGGCAATCTTAGCTGTAGACTCACCATTTACTGGGCTTTTCAGGATAAAGAAGCTGTGTTCCGAGGGTCTGTGCAACCTTCCCAATCTCAAACAGTAGGGCTAAGAACAGAATCATAGCTAATATTTGTTATGTACTAGTGTGACTCACTCATGCCGCTGGGCATAGCCTTAATTAATCCTCACCATTGCATCAGTAGAAAATTTAAGTCACTTATTCAGAATCTCAAGGGTACCCAAAAGTAGTGCCAAGATGAGCACCCAGTGGCAAGGCTCCAAGCCTTTCTTCAGTGCCCCCACAATTTACTGCTCTTCTCATGGGTGATAACATTTTTCTTCCTAATAAGATTTCAAGTACATTAATGTCTGAAAATCAGCCTGGGCCTCTGGATGCTGATGTTCATGGCTGCACTGGCTGCTTCAGTGCAGGCAGTTTGTCTAATTTATTTATTTTTGGTACCAGGGATTGAACTCGTGACCTTCTGCTTGCAAGGCAGAAGGCAGAACCACGGAGCTAAATCCCCGGCCCAGTTTGTCTAATTTAAAAAGTCAGTTCTGTAGAAAAATAGCAGGGAAATAAATGGTATTGGTGAAACTATACAAAAATAAAAATTGAGAAAGTGATATGGGAAAGTCAAAATTTAGGAAACTCATACGAGTGGGAAATTCCAAACACATGACCTTGACTTCCTGTTGAAAAACATTCAGTGAGGGAGCATTTTGGACTTGACTCCAAAATGGAGTTAATTCTTTAGAACTTATACTTTAATACAGGTAACAAAAATTCTTTATAATTTTGAAGTCAGCAGAGTATAATTTTGAAGATTCTTTTTCAGCAGTAGTTCTTCTTTGAAGCCTGGAAACTGACTTCTTTTCTTTTTTTTTTTTTGGTACTGGGGATCGAACTTGGGACCTTGTGCTTACGAAGCAGGTGGCGGAACCACTGTGCCACATCCCCAGCCTGAAACTGACTTCTTAACAATTGTAAGATTTTGATCGAAGACATCAAACACAGGCCTGGCTTCAAAGCATACTTTGGGACCAAGATGCATTTCCTAGTTTACATTGTTTACTTAGTGATAATATTGATTCAAAGAAGAAAGGGATCCTAAATCTCAGCAATGTCTATTATTAATAGATGCATCCCCTGTATAAACAGTTAAACCAAAATGTACCTTAAGAGAACCCAGGCTCAGGCCCTTCCAAATTCTAATCTTTTCATCTCACATCTCAATCCTCACCATGTTTTATTTTTTTGCCTCCCCACCTCCGATTTTTCCGTTCCCCATTCAACACATGATTATACGGTCTCAACAAGCCCACAAGATCCACATAAGCACTTCTTGTACTAATGAACAGTGAAACTTCTACTTCCTTGGTAGATTTAGATAAGTTTATTTATGGAGGCTGGCTTGTTTTAGTCAAACAACACATGATACTGTAGCTACTTTTGGCAAATGCAAGCACTGTTTAAGTCACATGTTATCTGAAAGCTGTACATGTTGTCAAAAGAAAATAAAAGAGAAAGAACATGATAAGAGGAAAGAAGGATGATCAGAAGAAAGGAAGGATAGCAATGGGGAAAAGATAGGGGAGAGAAAAAAAAAAGAAAAACAGTGAAGAGAAAAGAAAAAAAAAAAACCAACAGCTGAGTGGGGAACTCAAGATGAAAGATCCTGAAACTCCAAATAAAACAGACATAGTCAACCCATCCTTCCGTTGGGGCTGTCCAGGGTATCAGATGTGCCATACCACGTGTTCCACCATGGGTATCACAACGAACAAACCAACTTGACAAGACCTTGTTGTCATAAAGATTTACATTCACAAGTACCACTTTGGGGCAGGGTGACCAGTTGTACTGATTTGCCTGAGACTGAAGGGTGCTTCTGAGATGTGAGACTTTTTGAGGATAGGATCATTCACACAAATCTGGATGATTTTCTCTGTGACTGGGCGTGGGATTCCATTGTCCAAACCAGGAAAGTGTCAGGCAAATTGGGAAAAGTTAGTCAGCTTGGCTCTGAGTACATAAGTAAATTTATCTCACATGCTCTCTGAGCATTGTGTGGTAAACCCTGGATAATGTTATCCTACATGCCATGGGCCAGGTGGACAACTTTTCCTCTCTGTGCAGTATCCTGCTGCTCTTTCCTGTCTCATGTGGTTCAAGTTGGGCTATTATGTGTAGCACCTTTTACACCTGTTACCTTCTCCAAGGTGTGTAAGCCACTCAGTCTGGGAAGGGCATAGCAGACTGCTTGACACAACTTGCAACTGTGATTAGTTGATGAGTGTGCAACTCAAGAACATAAGAAAGGGAAGCACCTTTTGTTTCTGGCCAAGACTGATCGTCATCCTCATTGTGTATGACACAGTGAAAAGATAGAGAAGGAAGGAGGAGAAAGAAAGAGATGATATCCAGAGCCTCATTTGAGCCCCTGGATCCCACCCACACACGAAGCTAGTGCTGTTGCCCAACCACCTGAGCTAAATTGAGTGTTCGCTTTTTTTCTCAAGCTACTTTGAATTGGGTACTTGTCATAAAAGACCAAGAGTTGTGATTAATAGACATGCACAGCTCCTTTATTCCTAACTCGGTCTTGTCAGTCAGGCGCAATACTGGCATATGAAATTCTCAATAGCTACAATCCTTTGACTGCAAACAAAGAAATTTCATTTGGTTCAATGCAAGTGTTATAGGACCAAGGATGCACACGAATTAGATGGCAGACCTGGAAATGAAATCCAGATCTGTCCAATTCTAAGGTACACGGTATATTTCTAGAACTTATACTGTCTGAAAAGGGAATCTGTTAAGTGATGTCCCATCTAACGTTAGGTTTGACTCATACTCTGTGGATGAACGTATGAGGCCAAACACCTGCTTGTTTGCTTCCAAAATTCCTGATTCATCAAATGCTTCATGAGAAGAGGTCAGACACGAGTGTACGAAGCTAGATGGAAAATAATATCTGCGGGTAGTGTGAATGTATGTTTCGCAGAGATGAAGTTCCAGGTGATGATGATATGCCAGATTTCAAGTTCACTCCAGCTTAAGTTTTCACTGACAGTTAAGAGGTGCTATTCCTGCCTCACACAGGAGAGATTCTTTAACCATTCTACTCTTGGTACAAAGAGACTGTTGAACCGTTTCCCATAACTCAAGCCCAGCACTTTTAAACACCGCTGTGTCACTGAGATAAGCATCCTGGGTATTTTCTTTTATCATCATCATCCCGTCCCATATGCTTGACTACTGATACAACAGAAGGGTGCTTGTCCAGGAAATATTTATGGTGGTGTTCTATACATGCTATAAAAATATCGCAATATGATTCTGGGACATTTATGGGTTGCTTATTTCTTTCATGCTTTTCGAATATGTCAGGTTTTACAATTCAGGTTTGTTGGTGCATTTT